GAGGGAAGAAGGCTGCTAACAAGAACCGGAAGGACATAGCCTGTAAGTCTGGTTTATGGCTGCTAGAAAAAAAATGGTGGCATCTACTTCTAAATGTAGGTTTAAGAGGTTGGTAACTTTGACTCTTCTCTCCCTTTATCTCTTTAAAAAGTGTGCATTGACATCAAACCACGAAGGAAACGCAGTATTATAGTGTGGTACGCTGTTACCGATCTGCAACCAGTAAGGGAACTGCTAGTTTATTCTTGACCTTTTCTAGAGTTTCATCTTTTTATCAAAAACTGCTACCACTGATTGTGCTAGGCTGGTCTGATTGTCGCATAGGCTGGTTATGAATAACCAGTTAATGCCCAAGCTCTGTGGTGCTGGTGCTTGAACTTAGAAAGGCAGGTTAATATGCTTATAACTGAAAGGATTGCTCCTTGTCATATTTTGCTTTTAACTAGTAGATTATTAATATCAGGAAAACATAACATAAAAACCCAAGTCAGCCAATTTTGTCAGGTCTTAATGCATGTTAAACTGGGCCATGCTGTAATGACGTGAGTATGGAAGTAGTGGAATTTATAGAAATCTATAGAATTTGTAGAAAACAAAGTCCTTTTCAGGAATTTGAGAAATCCCAAGCTCTTCAACATAGGAAGAATAAAACGTACAGCTTGGGAAGGATAAAATTTCCTGTTAAAAGATTCCTCTTTAGGAATGACATGAGCATTTAATGGTGTTTTCCTTTGCTTGACAACCCAGCCAATGCTTTCCAAAGATGTGACTGAAAGGCAAAATACAGCAGCCCCCAAAAATGACCGCATTAAACATTTACTGTTACAAAATAGGAATAGGGGGCCAATATCCTGTGTAAATTTGTGCCTTCATTGGAATCTTAGAGCTCACTTCATCACCTGGACACACCTATCTCTGATGACATGTTGCTTCCTTTGGAAAGTACCAAGGGTCTCTGGGAGAAGAACAGTATTAAATACGCTTAGAAACTGGATTGATCGGCAGGGTTTTCAATATGTGCTTTATACATCCATAGTAGGCTGTAGCCTCCTTCCAAGAGGTCCATAAAAGATAACTAAGGAAAGCAACTTCAGCTGTATAAACTTGCGAGGGAAGCCCTGTTTTTTCCCTCCTCTCCAATGATGTTCACACCTCCAATGGAAAAATTGTGGAAGTGGTGATTTGAAAAACTTGAAAAGTCCTAGACTAATCTAAAGGGATTTAGAGGATCCAAGAGCAGATGCTATTTAGTAAACAGCGTATTTCAAGCAATCTAAAAATCCTTCTCTCTTTTGAACTCATCCCCCTAAGGACACATCCACACAGTGAAAGAGGATGTTGACTGATTTGAAAATGTCCTAGTATGGATTCACTCACTTTAGCTTTATTGCCATATCCAAAGGTCAGCCCGTTAGCTTCCATTGAAATTATAATTCCATTGTCTACAGTATGATTTTTATTGCATGTTAGCATCTGCTTTTTCTTCTGCTGACCAATATTTGTGGGAGAAATTGCTGGCATGCCAAGGGTACTTACGGCGACTGGTGCAATTTCCATTCCTGAAGCAAAGTCCCAAATTCACTGGCACAAAATTTACAGTGAAATGTGAGGAAAAAAATGAGAAGTGTAGTCATTTGATCTTTGTGCTGTGACCGATGCCCAGTAAATCTGATTAATTTAAAAATAATTCTCCTTTTGCTGTATTCCTGAAATTCTCTCTCATGGTATGCCACAGAATTTGTTTCTGACATGTCAAAACTGATGCTCTGACTTGAGGCTGGCTGGGAGGAAGCCTTGATTTGACACTCGTGAGGAACTGAGCCAGCAGTGTGCCCAAGCAGTGCCCAAGGAGGCCAGCGGCCTCCTGGCTTGTATCAGGAACAGAGTGGCCAGCAGGACCAGGGTCCCCCTGTACTCGGTGCTAGTGAGGCCACACCTCGAATGCTGTGTTCAGTTTTGGGCCCCTCACTGCCAGAAGGACATTGAGGCACTGCAGTGTGCCCAAAGGAGGGCAACGAACTGGGGAAGGGGCTGGAGGCCAGACCTTATGAGGAGCAGCTGAGGGAGCTGGGGTTATTCAGCCTCAGAGGAGATCTTACGGCTCTCTACAACTACCCGAAAGAAGGCTGCAGTGAGGCAGGGGTCAATCTCTTCTCCAGAATAACTACCAATAGGATAAGAGGAAATGGCCTCAAGTTGTGTGAGAGGAGGTTCAGGTTAGACATCAGGAAGAATTTCCACATGGAAAAAGCACTGGAACAGGCTGCCCAGGGAAGGGGTGAAATGCCCGTCCCTGGCAGTGTTCAAGAAACGGGTAGATGAGGCGCTTAGGGACATGGTTTAGTAAGTATGGTGTTGAAGGGTTTATGGTTGGACTCAATCTTGAAGGTCTTTTCCAACCCCAGTGATTTTATTATTCTATGATTATAATGATTATTAATTTACTTATCTGGGAGGAAGATGAGGATTTGTCACTCTTATTCCCTTGTTGGCTGGGTTCATAAAGTTGCATGTGGCATGGTTTGAACTTCAACAAGTCAGCTGAAGGTCCAAGGGAAGATTTAGGTTAAGATTGACCAAAGTCTTAGGCAGGTACATTCTGAGAAACACCCTTCTAGATGACGATTCCTACCTTGTTTTCGGAGCTCGTTGGAAATCAATCAGCAGAGTTGCCTGCTGGAAGCTGCGTCTGCTCCTGGCATCGTGAACGCGGGTAGCGTGGGGCGGGATGAACCTGCTTGCTGGCTATGCCTTAGATGAACTTTCTTCATGGGGTAGCTCGGGGTAGCTCTTCAAGGCTGCTGACTGCTGGGTGGTATTTTAAAAGCTGACTGTAGACCAGATGCATGAACCGTGGAGCGGCTGTCTTGATGCACAGATAGAGCTTGGTAGTTAATCACAAACATCACAGTGTGTTCCTGCATATGTGATGTGTCTGTGCCAACGATGGGAAAGGGTTACAGAGACTGGGGTATTCTGTAAATAACTAAGGAAATAATGGATGGTGACAAGAAATTCCATTTTTTATTAAGATGCATTTTGTTTTGTGCAATATAGAGAGCTGGCAGAGATGGTTTCCAAATGTCCATGGGCATGAGTAGAGGGTGCTCCTTGTTTTAATACCCTCTAGATTCCCAGCTCACCTTATATCTGAGCAGTTTCAAGTGGATTTGGGATGCGTGTGAAGGGGCCTGGCACGCAGGTGTGCGGAGGGCAGGGGTGGCCTGTCGGGTAGGAGGTGTTTGCCTGCGCGGATGCCGCGGGGCCTGGTCCTGCAGCCCCTCCATGAAGAGCGGCTGCCAAAGCGCTCCAGGGCCCCGGCGAGGCTTTGGGCCTTGAACCGCCAGGAAAGGAGGGAACGACCTCCCGGTCCTGCTGTGGCGAGGAGGAGACCTCGGTGCTGAAGGG